GCACGGCCAGGATGTCAACGGCGGTCACGTTTTGCCAATCCAGGTCGACCACCGCGAGCCTGCGCGTCTCCTGCGGTTGACGGTTGTCGGTTGTCGGTTGGCAGTTGACGGTTGGCGGTCGAGCGCTTGCAGGTCAGGTTTGAGGGCGCTGGTCGGGCGGGGTGTGGGACGCCGGCGCCGGCTGCGCACGTGGCGGGCCGCCCGAGGGACGGCTGCTGACGTGGCGCTTGGCGCAGAGGCGGGCGCAGCCCCATCATAACGAGAATGCTTCACCCTCTGCAAAAGCAACCTGATACGCGAGGTCGGCGCGCACAGAAGCCGCCGCGCCGCTTTTTGGGAGGCGCGCCGCCTGCCGCGTGGCCGGGCCCAAACCAGCGCCCGGGCGGCCGCACCTCTGATGCGGGTATGCTCTCCTTGCGTGCGCCCGCCTTGGCGCCCGCGCCCCACTCCTCCGAATCCATAGAGCCCGCGCTCTCCTCCTCCTCGGACGCGCCCCCGGCGCCGCCGTCCTGCATTCGCCGGAAGATCGGCACGGGTGCACGCGGGCGCGTCGCGGAGCGTCGGGGGGAGGGGGGCGACGCATCTGACGGCTCCAAAGCAGAGCAGAGCGCAGCACGGCGCCCGCAGCACCGCGGCGGCTGCTCGGCCAGCCTCGGGGGCCGCGGGCTGTCTGCTGATGGGCCGGCCAGGTGGCCGGTTTCTCAAACAATACGAACCCACATGCAAGGCCCGCCCACCTCAAAGCCACCCTCATCCTCGCTGTCATCTTCTTCATCAGATGAGGAGCTGACGTCTGCGCATCGACAAACACACATGTGGGCACGCGGGCGGGCGTGAGCTCCTCACACCACCCCCGCCGAGGGGCTCTCCGCCGGGGCTCGCTGCGCCGTGCGCGGCTCTGATCCTGATACATCGAGGCAGTGCGCAAGTGGCTGCGGGCCGCGGGCGCCCCGCGCACGGCCGTGCTTGAAAACGAGGCCAGCCTCGCGCTGCCGCGCATCGTCAGGCGCCGGAAGCTGCTGCGCTGCGCCTGGGTCGGCCCCCTGCACGCGCCCCCGTTTGGCAGGCCCCGCAGCTGCCCTACCCCACCCCCCCACCCCCGAATGCTCACCGACGAGGCCCCTCGCACGCGCCCAGCGCCGCTGCGCCTCCGCCTCCTCGTCTTCCTCCTCCTCGCTGCCTGACGGCTCCTCGGAACCCTCATCCTCGGAACCCTCATCCTCAGAACCCTCGTCCTCAGAACCTCCCCCTGCCGCCGCCCTGTTGGAGGCCGAACCGCCGCCGCCGCTTCCGCGCCCGCCAGGCGGCCCCTCGTCTTCCTCTTCATCCCCGTCCTCTGAATCCGAGGCTGGCGCCAGCCGTGCCGCCGCCTTGGCCATCTGTGCATCCTCATCGTCCTCGTCAGCGTGGCTGGCCCCCTGCTTGGCCCTTGCCCCCTTGGCCTTCCCCTTGGCTGCTGCCTGCTGTGTGACCCCCGCCTGTGCTGCCCGCGCCGCACGGCCCTTCTTCCCCGCCGGCGATACCTGCTGCTGCTGCTGCTGCTGCTGCTGCTGCTGCTGCTGCTGCTGCTGCTGCTGCGCCCGCCCCTTTGCAGCCTGCTTTGGCAGTCGCTCCTCCGCTTCCACCTGCCCCTCAGGCTGCTCCCCGCCCTCCTTGCCGCCCCAGTCCCCCTCATCCTTTAAGCGATAGTAGCGCCGCATGTCATCCCCCTTAGCCGCCTTCTTTGACACCTGCGGCAGCCGGGGCAAGCACGGGAGCACTGGGGCTGAGGGCTGAGACGAAGAGTGGGAGAGAGGACGCCGCGGCTTACAGGAACAGCGCAGTTCCAAAGCGGCGCCTTCAAGTGGCAGCCAGAGGAGCATCGGAGGAGATAGTGGTTGGAGGAGCATCAGCGCCGCGTGCTGTGCCTGTGCAGGCTGGCGTTTGTTGTGAAAGTTGTTTGTTGCGAAGAGGCGGCAACCGCAAGCTGCTGCGGGCACCCCCAGCGACCAGCCGATGCTCACCTTCCTGCCGCGCTTGTCGACCGGGGCCCTGCCCTGAAAGTCAGGGTCCGAGAACATGCCTGCGGGGCGGGGTAGGGGTGCGACGCGGGCGGCGGTCGGTTTGTTGGGGGCAAGCCGGCTGCCGGTTGCAAGGGGCGTTGGCACAGCACAGCGCATGGCACGACCACTGATGAGGGTGGCGGTGGGCGTGTAGCTGCCAGGCATGGCAAGATACGGAGTGTAGAAGGCGGATGCGCTGCCTCATGGTGCCAAACTGCGCCGTCGGCGGGGCGATGGCGGCGGCTGCGGTGACGGCGGCAGTGCGGGCTGCCGCTGCACTTATCGCGCAGCCGGCCGCCAGCCACCCTGCATCTGTTTCACCTCACCAGCAAAGCGCTCATCGATCTCCACGGTATTCTTCTTCTTCGGAAAGCGCTGAAAGCGAGGGTCCGTGAGCATTTTGGCAAATCGCGGGTCCATCCCGCCCCCGTCTTGCTTCCCCATGGTTTAAAATACGTAAGGCGATCGGACGTGCTAAAATGAGTCGACCAGGCGATCTTGATGTGTTGAAACTGCCACACAGCACTTTGTGCGATGTGTCGGTGAATAATGCTTATGATCGCTGTGTCTTAGGTTGTGAGTTGCAGTATACGGACGACAGTCCATGCAGATGGTCTAGGTGGCACCGGGGTGACAGTGACTGATGCATGATTGCGACGGTGCCAGCGTGCTAGGCAAGCGCGGAAACCTGGATGACATGGATGAGCGACGCAACCGTCTCAGCAAGTAGTGATTGCTTCAAGAGGTCGCAATCTCTCGAATAGATCGCCTCAGGACCATATCGCAGAGGCGAGAACCTCCTGAAGCCCAGCCCAAGCCGATCCGAGGGTACATTGGTGCTTGAGCTTCAGAATGCGATTGATAAGGACGCCACTGCGGCCAGGGTCCCTGTGCACAGGGGCCCGGCAAACGTTGTCCACCCGCGCGCCAGCACGTGCGCTCCTGCGCCGCGCTACTGCAGCAGCAGTCGCTGCGGCAGAGGCAGAGGCGCTCCCTGCAACCGACACGGCCACGGAGGCTGCGGCGCAGCAGTCCAAGCCCCGGCGGGGCGGACAACGGAAGCAGCGGCAACCGCAGCAAGAGCGGCAGGAAGAGCGGGCGGCCAGCGACGCCGACGCCGACGCCGCCGCCGCGCGCGAGCGGCAGCGGCTGCAGCGGTGGAAGCAGCAGCAGCGGCGGCAGCAGCGTTTGGTGCGGGACAGGGAGTCGCAGGACTCACCGGTGGTCAGGGTTGCTGAGGGGTCGTCCCCGGCGGGCGCGGCAGGCTGCCTCTGCAAATTCATGGGCAGCGGAGAGGTGGGTGCTGCCCCGGCGCCCTCGCACCGCCGTCCGCCAGCCGCGTGCCGGCTATCCCCGCTCCGCCGCCGCTGTGCCGCGCGCGCGGCGCCCGTCATGTGCCTGCCAGCACTCAATCGCTCCCAGCCGCAGCCGCCCCGCCCGGCACGTGCACGAAACCGCAAGCTTGCTCGACACGACCACCTGGGCCCCTTGCAACGCCGCGCACCCCCTCCCCCAAAACAACCGCACCTGGACGCTCCGCCCCACCCAAATGCTGACTCAGTCGCACACTCGCCTGACCGAGCTGATCAGCCTCCCGCAACGGCCACCACCCCCTCCCCCAAAACATCGCAGCCGCTGGTGCGCGTGGTGGCGGTGGACGCCGCGTCGGTGACTAAGGCGGCCCTGGTGCTGACAATGGCCAACACTATGGCAAAGCAGGACATCGGTCAGATGCTGGTGCGCCCGATTTTTACTCTTCATAGCAGTGTTTTTGCTGTAGTGGTAGCGAACACTGCGAAATCCCCCATGATTGCTGAACCCGCTGCTGCCGTCACCTGTATGCTTGTAAATCCGTCGGGCGCCTCGCGCCCGCCAAAGTGGGTGCGCAGCAATATGCTGGACTACGTTGGCGCCGCGTCGCCGCATGCATCGACGACGCGTCCCGCACGCTGCGCCGCGCTGCCGCTCGCTGCTCCGCAGTCGTTCCAGCCCACGCTCATCTCGGGCCGCAGCGCGGAGCCGCCCACCATCCCGGAGGGCGCCACCGTGTTCTACGCCGCGCGCATCGCCGCGGGTGCGGGTTAATGCAGGCGCGGGCGCCGCGGGCTCGCCACGCCAGCAGGGCAAGCTGACAGTCATGGGCATGTGTGCCACCGGCCCCGCTGCCCGGCCCCGCTGCGATGCCGGCCCGGGAGGTGGGGTGCATCCCACCGCGCCCTCTCATAGGCAGCGAACCCTTCCTCCACGCTGACATCGGCGGCCCTGGGGTGGCGGGTTGACCCATCCACCTCCCATCGAGCACCCGTGCGGCGCCATGCACCCGGCCAACCCTCCTTGCCCCTAGCCCCCGTCACCTGGCCTCCCGCATCCCGTCCGCCCCCTGCCCTGGCCTCGGCCCCACGTTTCCAACCACCCAGGCGACATCCTGACGGACAATTCGCTCCTGGTGACGGCCGAAACGAAGCCCGACGCCCTGGCCCGCGCCATCATCGCGCGCGTCAGCACAGCCGGACACACAGTGCTAGAGTGCCTCGGCCGCGCGGCGACCGCGCAGGCGTTGCAGGTGCGCACGCGCAGTGCGCCTGGCGCGCGCTCGCCCGCATGCCCACCAACTCATGTGCTTGCATCCAAACAAGGCCGCTCCCCGGCCCCCGGCGTGGCGTAATTTGTGTGCCCCCGTGCATGTCTCTGCACCTTGAACCTCAACTGCTGCATGCATGCACGCAGCTGATTGATCGAACACGCGTGCCTGCCGCACCCACTTTTGGGGGACCCCTGGCAGGCGGTCATTTCGGCGAGGCGGGGGCTGCTGGTCAGGACGCAGGACGTGGCGTGCGTGATAGCCTCCACCTATGTGAACCAGCAGCCGCGCCAAGCGACGCAGCAGCAGCAGCCGCGGCAGCGGGAGGGGGAGGAGGGGGAGCAGCAGCAGCCGCAGCAGCAGGCGGCAGAGGGGCGGCGCGGCAAGCGGCGGGGGGCGGCGGGCGCGGCGGCGACTGGCCCCGGCGGCGGCGAGGCGGCGGCGGCGCGACGCGTGCTGGCCAACCGGATTGTGGTGCTGGAGTGTGCCCCTCGCGACCCCTCGCTTCTACGGGTGAGTGCATGGGGCGCTCGCTGACCGCAGGGCCTCCGCTGGATGATACTGCATGGGGCCAGGCACGCGAAGTGGACTTTGGGGTAGTGGTTCAGCCGCTCAGCGCCCTGCCGGGGTCATTGGACTTTGGAGCGCCCCATTCATCCTGTTGGGCGGAACGCCGAGCTGCATGCCCGCACGCCATGCCTCGCCTGCCTGGACACCGTTGGGTTTCGGCTCCTGCACAACACTCGTGCCCTTTGCCCGCCCCTTGCACTCGCCGCAGGTCCGCTCTACTTACGGCAAGGTCGGCTCCTGAGCCGCCGGGGCCGCCGTTGTCGTCCCCGGCCTCGTTTTGACGTGCCGCAGACGTGTGAAGCCAGCACGCCCCCCGACTCACTGCCCTTCAGCTCGCAAGGCAGGGCTGGGGCCTGCTCTGACGGCGTCTGCGCCATGACTCATCGGCGGCACGGTGCCGCAAGCTTCCGGCAAGCTCCTGCCAAGGCGTGCACGCTGGAGGCGCGGGCGAGAGTGCGGCTTTCTCTCGTCTGCTGGCTGACCTCGTTCTGCGGCCAGTGGGTCCAAACAGTGTCGGGGTGCTGCAGTGTAAGCATCCAACCCCCTGAAACGCCATGGCGATGTCGGTGTTGCCGGCGAGGTGGAAAGCATTACGCACGCACTCGTCAGCAGCCGGCGGCCGCCGCTGCTGATGTCACCCGATGCGCATGGGTGGTTGCGGCGCCTGCAGCGGCGGATGCGCAGGCGGCGGCGGGGCTGAGGGAGGGGGAATGTTTGCTGCCTGCAGTGCCTGCTGGCCGCGTGGCGGCAGGGGCACACAGAGGGAGGGTCGGGTGAGTCTGGGTCGCCTCGCTAGGGGAAGCCCCGTCGTACCCCGCGCGCCGGAGTGCCGCTCGTGACGCCAGGAGGGAGGTGCTCGGCTCGCGCCACAGCAGGCCGGCCGCTCTCTGGCCAGGTGGATGCTACAGCCGCAAACGCCCTTGCCCTGGCTGAGTCTGCAGGTTTGGTCAGCACATGGCCACCTGCTTGCTGAGTGATGGTGGGGCAGTCAGTGGGTGGTGGTGGTGTGCGCTGCTGCGAACACTGTGATGCCGCGCACCGCAGGTGCGAGATGTCTTGGCAACGAGCTGTTGATTTGATTTGTTGGCTAGCAGGCGTGACCTCGGATCACGGCGCTCCGTACAGTATTAGGGCAGGTCCGTGGTGGTCAGGCCGGCCACTCCAGCTTCGGAATGACATGTGGGCACACGCCGGCAGCTACAACCTGCCGCATGCTCGAGTTTCGATGCAACTCGTCAGACTCCGATGGAAATCTAGCGTAATTTGATATTGTGACCGCAGCAACGACTTCCTGCAGCAGCCTGGATGTCCACATCGGTCGTGAAACGAGATAACGCGTTTGTAAACACCGTGAAAGGAAGTCGAGGTTTCACGAAGGACATTTCAAGGCTTCCTGACACTTGCAAGAGGAACCCGAACCGCAGCTCGGCGGGCCCAGTAAAGCAGTGGAGCAACATGCGGGTGCAGTCAGTCCTCGGAATTATGGCGCTCTTTTTTTCGGCCATGGGGGGCGCCCAGGTGCGCAGCTGTGGGGTGTCACCCGCCTATGGCCTGACCGCCGCTGCTGCAGCTGCAGTACCAGCGTGTGCTGCTTCATGCAGCCACAGCGCCTGCCAGTGTTTTGCCAGGCTCAGCACCACCCATAAAGCGTTTTGGGGTTTCACCAGTTATTTTCGTGACACGTGAGCTGGCTCCAGCAGCTTTGTCACAGGCACAGGCACACGCCGTGAGTACACCGCGCATGCAGCCACGCGAGCGGCCGAAAGCAGCCGCCCATGCCCGCACGCGCTGCGGTGCCCGCAGGCCCTCGCGCCTGCCGATGATGCTCTTGAAGTGGGAGGAGTGCGGGCCTTTGGCGAGAGCAGCGATGGCTCGGGCGGCGTCCAGGGGGTGGCGCCAGAGCTCTTTGGCCGGTACCCCGCCGGCTGCGTCGGCTGCGGCCGCTTGTCCTGCTACAAATATACGGGGGCAGTGCCAGCCAATGGGAGCGTCATCACCCGCGTCAGCCTCTCCGCGCCGACGCTCATCAATCCTACGAAATCGGCCAAGTACAAGCCGTCAGTGAAGGAGGTCCTCGCTTGGGCCGGGTCGCAGTTTGCAATCCCCAGCGGCTACCTGCGAGCGGCTGTTTTCAACAAGAATCTCACAAAGTCATACCAAGACTGGACTGGTGGGCCCAGCACGCGTGCGAGTGTGTCTTTTTGGCGTGTGTGGTGTATGTGATGTGTGCGTGTGTGGTATGTGAGTGTGTGAGTGTGTGCGCGCGCGTGTGTGGTGTGTGCGTGCGCGCTGTGAGTTTGTACATGCGTGCATAGTTGCAGTGTTGCGCATACATTGTGGCTGCTGGAGGACAAAAGCCGGGGACACGCAGCCAGCAGCCGTGCTGACTAAGCCCCACACGCTGACCTGACGGCACTTCTACTCCCCGATATTTCCCCGCCTGGCCCGGTCTGGCCGCGCCCCGGCCGCGTCACCACCATACCCTCATCAGAGGCGGTTGTCATTAACCGAAAGTCGGTCAAGCGGCGTCATGTGCGGCTGGAGCAGGTGACGCCTCTCCAAGCCGCGGCGCCGCAAGCACATGTCAAACGTCCCGCACCCCGTTCGCTCCTGCAGGCCCGCCTGCGGTTGGAGCCCCCTGATTCGCCTCGGCCGCTATCTGCCCTGCACAACAGCTCTGATGCTTTGAGCCGTCTGACACCTCAAACCTGCACGCACCAACCCACCCTGTGAATAGATCCAGCCGTGGAGCTCAACCCCCTGAACCCTCAACCCTGATCCCTATGTGAACAGATCCAGCCGTGGACCTCGACGTTCAACCCGTCCAATGACTTTGATGCACTGCCGGTCAGCAACGGCTACATATTGGTGCATCTCGACAAAAACACAGTCTACGCAGTGACAGGTGAGGGTGTGGGCGCTCCCCGCTCCACACCCGCTCCCGTTGCGGTCCAAAGCGCGCACCGTCACTCGCCCACACGCGCTGCGCTGCCCGCCCTGGCAGCCGCTGGCGCACGGCCGCGCCGCCGTCGCGCCCGCGGAGGCCCCGGCTTCTGCGCTGGCCATTGTGCGCGGCGTGTGTGCGTCCAGGCTCCAAAGGGCCGCCGTTTATGCAGCCCTACCCCCTTTCTTTGGATGATAGTGACTCCCCGCACCACCAATTTCTGACATTGCACTGCCTGTTTTGTTCCCTCGCAATTCGATTCTCATAATGAAATCGCCCCCTTCTCAGGTGGTTACATCCCCAGCCTGCTCACCCCTGCCACAATGCCCCGGGGCGGGTTCATCAGCTCTGGCCGCGCCAAAGCCACTGCCGCGGCCGCGGCGCTGGCAGCCGCCCCCGACGCGCGCCCCGACGCCGCCGCCGCGCTCCGCGCCGCCGCCGCCGGCGACGTTCAGGCGCTCGCCGCGCGCGCGCTGTCGCCCGCGTCGCTCGGCGCGCCGGACGCGGGCGGGGGCGGTGGCGGCCAGGCGACAGCTGACGCGCCCGAGGTGGTGTGCTTCTCGGATGGTTGCAAGGCTGCGTTTGCTCAGAGCATATTCCTGCCCCCGGGCAGCACCAGCCAGCCGCGTGACCTCAAGGTGTATGTAGATGCGACAGACGGCAGAGTGATCTCGACCAGAGATGAGCTGAGGACCGGCGTGTCTGCATCTATCGGCACCGGCACTGCGCTCTACGCCGGCGTCATCACAAGGCTCAACACGGGTGCGGATTGTGCTACGTTTGGCCAACAGATGTGCGCCGCGGTGCCGGGCCGCCCCCTGCACCTGTCTTTGACACTGCAGGTGCTCCGGCCGCTGAGCGCCAAACACGACCTAACCATGACCTGCCCGACTGATGCAACAGAGAACCCGCCATCCCCTCAACCCTCACTCGTGAAATGCAGGCAGGAGTTCCAACAGAAACCAGGCCGGCGGTCGCTTTGAGTTGACGGATTTCAGAGCAAACAAGGCGCAGACTTTTGACTTCCTGAATTTGGCGGTAAACGACATCTTTGTAGTGCCCGAGCTTGAGAGGGACGACGACAACAACTGGTGGGCATGTTGTTTCCGCCAGCGCCATGGTTGGTTGCCAGATGCAGCAACAGTGCTGATCATGCTGGGACCGGCCACGACTTGTGCCAGCGCAGTCCCACGTGGGCCTGCGCATGTGGTGGGGGTTGTAATGCAACAGGAGATGCGCGGCTCCGAAAGTCAAGCAGGATAGTGTGCTGAATCTGACCTCACATTGTTGTCAGTGTTGAGTGCACAATTTCAGCCCCGTCCCGATTGCCTGCCTCATCCCATGGGCCCAGGCGCGCAGCAGACCAAGAAAACCAAGTCACGCACCACCGAACCCCCCACCTCGTCGCCGGGTTGTTTTGACGTTTCCATGCGCCGCGCCCGCAGGGGCACGGGCAGCGCGCGCATCATCACCACGGCGGACCGCCAGACGGCTGCTGTCGACGCGCACTGGGGTGCTGGCCTCGTAAGTAATCTGCGGGCAGCGGGGTGCCTGGTGCATTCTGACGGCCAGCAGCCGCGTCCAATGGCTTGGGTCATATGTTTGCACAAAACAATGCACGGACAGCGATTGCTGCAGCAATATGGACGTGCCGCCCCGCCCGGATAAGCACCGCACCCAGCCGTGCCTTCCCGTGTCCCTGCGGGGCCGCAAAGGGAACAGCATCATGGATGGGCCGGGCTCGAAAACGCCCGCTCCTGAGCGCCCACTTGCTCATTTGCACCTTTGACGGCCGACTGAACCCGGCCTGCTGCGTCCCTGCAAACCAGCTGCATCCGTGCCACCCTGGAAATCTCCCAGTCTTTGGCAACCTCGTTCACAAACCCACCCCTTGCCTAGGTTCACGAGTACTACCTGAAGGTCCACAAACGCAAGAGCTTTGATGACAGGAACACCCCCATCAAGTCGTACGTCCACGTGGGCTCAAAGTACAACAATGCGTTCTACTCTGGTGCGCATTGGGCACTTTGCTTGTGATGTGATGTGGTGTCTCTCTCTCCCTCTCTTCTGTTGCGTGCCCGTGAATGTGCACTTGTGCGTGTGTGTGTGTGTGTGTGTGTGCGCACGTGTGGTGCATGGGCTGTGCTTGCTGCGGTTCTTGTTGATGTGGGCCCTCTGCAATGTGTGCTTTGGTACGCGCCCCACCTTTGAAGCCCCAGGGGAGTGAACAGGGCCATGCAATGCAGCGTAGCAGCCTCCCCTCGAACCAACGCCTGCCATCGTCCTCGCCCCTCGCGTCCCCTGATGCGACCCTGCTCCGCCGCTCTTCTGCCATCGGCGCGCTGCGGCCCCCAGCCGGCACGATGTACTATGGAGACGGCTCCCGCAACCCCGACAACCTTGGATCGTGCAGCACCTCCGCCTACGGCCCGGTCACCACCCTCGATGTCACCGCCCACGAGAGTGAGCGGGCGAAGGCGCAGGCGCCGCGCCGGCGCATCTGCGTGGATGGCGACACGCTGCTGCGAAGGCAGAGGCGTGCTTGACTTTTCCTGTTTTTGTTTCGGTCGTCACGGCTCGCGTGGCCGATTAGCGGCCCTTCCAACGCTGACACGTCACCCTTCTTGTCCGCCCCGGCCGCCTCTTTCCGCCGCAGTCACCCACGGCGTCACCGAGTGAGGCGCCGGGAGGCGCCGTGCCGCGCCCTCCCGCAGGGGTAGCGCGCGTGGCCTCTTGCCAACGTTCAGAAGCCTGGCTTGGAGGTGGAATGGGCACGTTGCTGCCTGCCCCTCTAGACGCAGTTATCTGCCTTCCGCCCCACCCGTCGCACTGCTGGTGCCGGTCGAGCGGGCAGCAAGCTCCCTGCAGACCCGCCGCCGCCGCCCACCCGCCTGCCGCGCGACCACCTCCCCCTTGACTGTCGCAGGTTCTCGGGCAGGATGATCTACACCAACTCGTACGGCGCGTTCAGCGAGGCCGTGTCAGGTTAGCGCAGCCGCAACAACGCCCCGCCTAAAACCCTGAGCCCGTGCTTTTGGGGGGGGGGGGACGCCATCACCCCTTTGGAATGCGAGCTGCAGGATGGTCCCGCTCGGATCGCCGCCGGAACGCACTGCCACAACGAGCTCGCGGCGGGAAGCATCAGCTGGCGCGAGGCCCCGGCCGCTGCAGGCCTGGCAGGGTGGCGTCGGGCGTCGCATCTGCGGGCCCAGCACGTGCCACTAGTGCTGCCCATGCAGCACTAAGCCTGCCCCTGGGCCCCACAACCCCCTTCTTCAAAATCCCCATGTCGCCTCCCCCTCACACACACACGCACAACACATCACATATTCCTTCCCCCGACGCCTTCCCTCCCGATCCCCGCCGCCCTCATCCAGTGCCCGGCATGCCGGCGCAGTGTCCTCACAACTCTTGTAACTGACTCTTCCTAAGCCCACCCTTTCCACTCTACCCCGGCCCTGCCCCCGCCCTCGCCCCCGCCCGTCAGACATGATGGCGCAGTGCGTGATGGATTACGCCCAATCCACGGGTGTCTACCGTAAAGGCGCGGACTTCTTGATCGGTTCCGACATCTGGCCCAACAAGACCTGCTCGCGCCCTTTCCTTCGGTCCATGATAAACCCTCTTGCGGACGCCAACTCGTTCGCATGCTGGACTCCGCTGATCGATCAAAAGGTGCATGTTTGTGAACACGCACGCACGCACATGTGCTCCTTTTGCGCATGCGTGTGTGTGTGCGTGCGTGTGTGTGTGTTTGTATGTGTGTGTGTCATTGTATGTGTGTGTGTCTTTGCATGTGTGTGTGTGTGTGTGTGTGTGTTTGTATGTATGTGTGCACGCGCGTGTGTGTGTGTGTGTGTGTGTGTGTTTGTACGTGTGCGTATGTCGGTGTAGGGGTTCTTTCCAACTCACTGCAAAAATGTGCTGTCGGGAAGTCAAGGGGTGCATGGAAGCCAAAAGGGGGGCAACTTGGGACTGCCAACGTGTCCCTTTCCGGGCCGCTTGTGACTTGCCGGCGCGACACGACTTCATACGCACCCGGACCCCCCAGGTTGCATCCCTTCTGCCCCAACGCCCCTCTCCCCCACCCCCACCCCTATACCCCAACAAATCCATCGCAGCTCCCGAACGTCAACATTTCAAACTTTGACAGCGCGACGCAGTCGAGGTTTGGGTTGCCAAATTATTGCGAGGTGAACGGGGCATCGTTGGTGGTGTGGTGTTTCCATCGCTGTCAACAGTGCGCACGGGCGGGTTGGCTGGGTGCAGCTGCGTTGGTCCTGAGACGGACGCAGCAGCAGCCTCACGTGCGCGCATGCGCGCGTCAGCAGCGCGCCCATATGCCAACGCAACCACCCATCACCAGCCGACAAACGATCCGGTAGCCTCCCCTCGCAAGCCAGCCGACCGGGTATCAATCCAATACCTGAAGGGTCTCGCCAGTCAACTCCCCCTCGATGGCTGCGAATACAAACCAAAACTGGGGTTGGCCACCTACACACCATGACCTTGCAGGTCGATGTGCACTTCAGCAGCGGCCCCGCCAACCGCTGGTTCTGGCTGGTGTCGAAGGGCTTCACCACTTGCCCCTCGCAGGGCAAGCCTGCTTCGATCGGTGCGCGCCCGGCAGGCGAAGGGTGGTCGGTGGTGGTGGTCGCGGGGTGTGTCGTGTGCGCGCATGCGCGTGCGCGTGTATGTGGAACAGAGAGACACACAGAGGCAGGGAGGGAGGGAGGATTCGTGGGTGTATATGTGTGTGTGTGTGTGTGTGTGTGTGTGTGCGCGCGCGCACGCGTGCCTGCACGCGCATCAACGTGTGTCGACCCGTGTGCAAGGGGGAAGCGCTTGCGGGCGTCACGCCTGGCCCGACACGACCCAACATGATCCTCACGTCCCTGCACGGCCGTCCCCAAACGTCCCCCAAACAATACAAACACCAGCCTTCGCCACCGCCAGCGGCGCTGCCCATGCATGTCAATGCCTCACCCCATCCCCTTTCCTATCGCCCCGCACCACTACGAATCTGGCAGGCCTCCCTTCGACCTGCAAGATCGTTTACCGAGCGCTCACCAATTACTTCACGCCCGTCACCGACTATTTCGAGGCCCGAGCCGCCACAGCCCAGGCCGCGGCCGACCTCTTCGGCCCGGGCAGCGCCGAGGTCGCCGCCGTCAAGGGGGGCTGGGACGTCGTCGGGGCGCCCACTGCGCCGGATGGCACGGGGCCGACGTGCGACGCGACATATGCTACCAACACTGCGTCTTGCGGATAGAACGCGAAGGGCCGAGGGTCGCCGGCGCTCTCGGAAGGTCGTTCGGGGGCGAGGTGGGGCGCTATCTGTGACGCGCTGCGTCGACGCCGCCAGGCGGGGCCCCCGTGAGAGGAGCAGCCATCCGGGCTGCGGCAGCAGCTGCAGACACGCCGGCTCCACCGCCGCGCGAGCCGGCTCGTGCCGCCACTGCTACTGTTTCCGGCGCCCGATCCTGTCAAGGTCGCGTTGTTCAGTGCACGGGGCGGTGGAGATGCGTGCAGAGGTTTGGCAGCCATGCGTTCGATCACGGTTGCAAAGCATCTAACGCGGCCAGTGCACTTCAAGATGCTGGCCTCGCCGGCCACAGGCGGCGTCGGCTGCGGGGAGGTTCGCCCACGCCCGCTGCGCTCGTCCCACAGCACCGCACCCGCCCGCTCGCTGCCTCTGCGTTGTGCGCATGTGTGTGCGTGTCGCGTGCGCGCGGCCCATCCCGCGGAGCTAGTCGTGGCGCCTGCTGTTTTTTTTCCCCCTGGCCCCTTACTTGGGCGGCGCCCTCGCGCGCCTGCAGCCCCACGACCCCTTTGATGACCTTCACACGAGCCCAGCCCTCAACTGGCAACTGATGAGGTTTGGCCATTACACGCCCCAGTCAGGTTGCCCACCTGGGGTCCCTAACCCCTACCGCAACCATTTTACACCATACACACCAGCCATCACGAACAGACACCTTCAAACCTCAATTTACAGTTGCTGCAACTTCCAATGCAGCGTGGGCCCTGGTTTAATCCGTTGCCAAGCCACGTGCAGAGCTGGGTGAGGCAGTATGTCCTCCCTGGGCGCTTTGCTGCCCTTCGCAGCACGCTGCATTCCTTGGATTATTCCATTGTGGGGCATGGGCCTTGCCCCGCTGAGAGTGCCTGCCCCCTTACCTATGTGTGTGTTTGTGTGTGTGTGTGTGTGTGTGTGTGTGTGTGTGTGCGTGTGTGTTTGAATCGTCTGTGTGTATGTGAGTGCGCGCGTGAGTGCATGCGTGTGCGTGCAACGCGTGTGTGTGTGTGTGTGTGTGTGTGTGTGTGTGTGTGTGTGTGTGTGTAAGCAGCCATGCGTGTGAGCAACAGCAACGCAGCATCGTCCGGCTCGCCCATTCCAGCAAGGGCGTGCGCAGCGGGGCGGGGCGAGCGACACCCGCAGTTGGTGGGGCTGGAGCATGTGGTTGAGGGCAGGGGCGGCGCACGTCCGCCTGGTCCAAGTCCAAATTGCCAGTGGAGCAGCCCCACCCGCCAGCGCGCTCGTGCCAGGGGCTCGCCCGGTGGCGCGCCAAACCCTGCTGCTCGGCTCGGGGGCGCATCCGCCGCAGTCACTGCTGATGCGGCCCGCGCCGACCCTCGGTGGAAGTGGTGCGCTGTTCGACACTACAGACTGGAAAGAGCTCAGGCACACCTGAGCGTTGACCGTGCGTCTGCTCAGTGGGCCCTAGTATGTGGTAGGCACTCCCCTTCATCGCTGCACCCCACGTGGCCCCTGCCCTGGCCTGACTTGCTCCTCGCTGCTGGAGCCTGCGCAACGCATCTGCACCACGCACCGCCCTCCCTGCTGCGGACTTCGGTGAATTCATGAATTTGCAAACGGCAGAAATCTGCTGCGGACCCTCGCAGCGACCCAGTCGATCCGCCGCCCAGCTGGCCCGCGGCAGAGCTTGCAGGGGATCCTTACTCTCGTCCGCCGCCACTATGGTGTGACGGGCGCAACGGGTGGGGCCAGGCCGGCATGAAAGCGGCCCGAAGCCTGGGCCGCTCGAAAAAACAGCGAAGGCCAGCAGCAAAAGGCGCAGCGCGGCAGCGGCGGCGGCGCCAGACATGCGAGATGAGAGCATGTGCACCCCGTGCTAAGGGCGGCGGAGGCGCCGACCCGAGCCGCCTCCAGCGGCGACGGCCCGCTCTGCCCGGCAGCGCGCGGGCGGCGTGCCGGCAAGCAGGTGCCGAGCCGCAACTGCGCGCCAGCCGCGCCCGCGGCGGCGGCGGCGGCGGCGGGTCGCCGGGGCGGCCCTACCGCTGCGCCCGGCAAGCCGGGGGCGCCCCAACTAGCGCGCCCCAGGCCGGTGCGATAGCCGGTCTCAAGCACAGCGTAGGTGGGAAGGCCCGCCCTATGGCTGCGAGTAGCTGGGGTCGTAGGTCGGGTGGACGTAGCTGCCGGTGACCGTGCGCAGCTGGATGTTCACCGGGTCCTTGTAGATGTTCTTCCACTGCCACGACAGAGGGGGGGTGGCCGCAC